TTTTTTTTTTTTTTGTGATTTTTCAGAAGCTTTGATCTGATCTGCTCCTAAATTAGAGATTTTTTTTTTTGGATCTGATGGTGAAAACTTATTAACAACTCAGAGCTCACAGATCTGTAAAATTTTCCTCAGAAAAATCTGCTTTGAACCTAACAAACGGTCTCTGTTGACAGGTTTGTTCATTATAGCTCAAGATCTGGAAGATGAATCACTTGGCTGTTCAGCAGAAAGGTTTCGCCGCCGGCGAGGAGATGAGGGCCGCCGCCGCCGCTTACAGATCTGTGGATATGAAGGAATCGGTGGTCTGCCCCAAGCCGCGGCGGCTCGGTTTGCTTCATGCAACCCTTACCGAACCTTCTCCAGTGAGACCCCTGCGATGGCATTCTAGGTAAATTTTTCCTAATTTTCCCCCATTATTTGGTGCTCTCCTTGTAATTTGCTGCAAGTATTTTGTAACTTTATTAAAGACCAAAGCTTTATTTTGAATCGAAAACTTTTTTTCTTGTGAGAAAAACTTACCATATATTGTGTTGTGGTGCTTAATTGACAGCCTTAATCAAGAGGTTTTTGATGCAAAAGCTGGAAATGAGCTCCTAGACTTCATCCTGACAAAGGTTTGTTTCACCTTTTAAATTTCTCTGTATTTTTTTTTCTTCAATTTCAAGCTAGTCTCATCATTTAGGAAGATGCTCCGGTCCCGTTACGGAACCATTCCGTTGGGTTTGTAACCCTTAGATCATCATGCAACTACAAATCCTGACGGATGATTCCGTAACGGGATCTTAGCATTTCCCCATCATTTGAGGTAGTAATATGTATTTAAATAATTTTTCTTTTCCACCCTCTTAATTTTAGGATTATAATTCATTTACTTTATTGTTTGGACAAATTAAATCCATGGATTTTCCTCTACTGATCTTAATAAGTCACTATTGCTATTACAGTCTCTGTTGCTTGAAGGAGAAAAAAGTGAGCTTGATGTGAAAACCATAGTCTTGATGGTCCTTAAACAAAACTACCTATGGTTCATTTAATTAATGATGTTATCAATCCAAATATGATAAACAAAATCAAAGTAATCCACTTTAAACCAATCATCCATTCATATTAATTTTCTAACCTTACAAAGTTGCTATCTTTCTAAATCTACAGGGCACTACTAATTGTGGCTCCGATCAATCGGCCACACCAATAGCCTCGTCGCCCCCTTTTTTTTGCGGGTCTCCGCCGAGCAGAGTATCTAACCCACTAATTCAAGACTCTCGATTTGGTGACGAGAAATTCACACCGATCTCTCCACGCGCGATCCTCACGCCATCCAGCCCGGCCCATTCTCCCTCATCCTCGGCCCGCAAACCCAACAGCTGTGTCCGTGCAAATTTTGGGAACAACCCAGCTGTCAGGATCGAGGGCTTCGACTGTCTCGACCGGGATAGGCGCGGCTGTAGCATCCCTGCTCTTGCCTGAGGATCGTGCTCTCTTTTTGGGAAATCGAACGAGATGAGTTGATCTTGACCGTTGATCGTGTTTTTGTCTAGTTGTGCATATACATATATAATATTATTATCATAATATATGGTAATTGAGGTCTAATGAGTTTGTTTTTCAGTTTTATTTGAGTGTGTGTCTGTAATTAAAGGAGGAAAAAGTGAAAGCCTGATGTGAAGTAATTGAGAAAATGAGGTGTGTGGTAAGTTTGTTGTTGACTTGAGGAATAATTTTGATGAGAGGCAAAAGGGGCCTCCCTCTCTTTGTAATGGTGTAAGTAAAGAGTTGAGAGGAGTTGGGGGGCTTTATTGGGTAATTTGTGTAAGTTTTGGGGTCGTTTATGGGATTTTGGTAATCTTTAGGGGGCTTTTGTGAGATGAAGGGAAAATTTGTACAATAGGAATATATATATATATATATGTATGCTTATCTTTATGTAGTTGGCATCGAGTCATCATGTTTTGTAGTGTCGGAAAGACCCTTTTGTGTAAATATGGGCAAAGATATGGAGTATCGAATTTTATATTTATTTTTCTATTGTGTTTTCTTGTGATTTTTATTTTATGGCGTTTTGTGAATGATTATGATGATTGATGATCGCTATTGACACGCGGGAAAATCTTTTTGTGGCCCATTTTTTCTTTAAGTATTATTCTCGGAATTTGGTTCCGTATGAGATTGTTAAATTATTGTTCCTATGTTATGCTGACGGGAAGATGTTACAGTTTCGTTACGGAATTATTCTGCGTGTGGAGATGTCAACAATTTCTGACAGTTATATTATGATTCAATGGTTACAAGTTCGGACAGAATAGTTCTCTAACACGGGATTTTCGTATTTCCCTATGCTGACTTTTATACAAGTGAAGCTATTGTGCCATGTGTTTTGTTCAATAGGTCGTGACTGGGTAATGTTTTTCGTTGGGTCATATTTGTTTAATGTATTTTTGGTAGGTGAAAGTAAATAAAGAAAAAAATATTTTGGAACGGGCTCTGCATTCTCACAAAGAATCAACAAATTCAATACTTTTGAAAAATAAGATTTTTATTATTTTGGTGTTTATTCTTGTCCTAAAATTGTTGAGTTGATTGGTGGACAACGGTTAAAAATTTTGGGTTGGGTGGATCTTGGATGGATGTCTTGGTTTTTATTTTGCTCATGCACTTGTTTAAGACACGTGCATATTTATGTGTGAGCATTTCTATAAAAGACTATTTCATAAATGATTTTATTTAAAATGGACTTCTATTAAAAGTGTTCATCGTTTATTTCTATAGAATACAAATTTTGGTTAAACAACTTACTGTTATAAACAAGTGGAATTTTACCACTATTAATAAAGTTATCATTGTAATTATTATACTAGTGTATGCATTGAAATGTGTGCCCATTTTTTTCTATAAAAGGGGCAATATATGTAGTGT